ACGCTAGCGATTAAACTTAAAAAATTCGTTTTTATGGCAAAAATTGAAGTCGAAAATTTACATATCGTCCTGGGAAGGGTTTAAATCAAACAGATAACTCCACTTAAATTTTTTTTCGTAAAGCAGACATTTTTACAAAAAAAAAACAAGCTAATGTTGATAAAAATACATGGAAAAATGGCGAAGTTATGAATTTTTTTAGTGGAAGGCCAAAATTCAGCTTCTTGACGATTTTTATTTTATTTTGTTCTTTTATTTTGTAATATTTTTATTCTTTAATGAAAACCTAAGTAAAGTGCATAATTGGAGTTTTTGAGTTTTTTACGTACTTTTTTCACCGAAAACATTAATCAAAATTTAAATTTGACATGACTCCGCAAATGTGAATTCTTTTCTTTCTCGTGTTTGCATAGTGACATTTTACTGCTATTTTTTGATATTTAAACAAGGTATTTTTATCATGGTTTTATTTAGTTGATAAAAAGTGTAAAATGAGTAAAAGATGTAGAGAGTTCGAGTGCGTAAATAACCCGGACAATCTGGGTGACGTAAGTGATGAGCACGGAGAACGTTTTCACCAGCAAATGAAGGCTATGGAGCGGCGGTATCACGGCTTCTGGGATGCAGCATAATGGGTAATTACATTTGGTCCCTCATACGAGAAACGGAATACGAAAGCAACAAAAAACAAAAAAGGAGCCAGAATTTTTTTAAACCTATGCTTATTACAACAAAATAAAACTTTCAATTTCTTCAATGTTCAATATTTATTGTTTAATATACAATATATAATTTAATTTCAATATTTAATGTTTAAAATAAAAACCAATGTTCAATATTAAATTTTAATTCAATAAAATTATCGAAAAATTGAATTTTGCTCTTCCACTGAAAATAAATAACTTCGCCATTTATCCATGGATTTTTATAAACAGCAGCTTATTTTTTTCCTTTAAGTATAATCTATATATACGTATACGTAAAATAAATCAAACTGGACTTATTTTTCTATTTCTATCTTTCCCAGAAAGATATGTACATTTTACCTCGATTTTTGTAAAAAAGGACTCTTTCAACTACACAAGAAAATCATAGTGATACAGGGTGGGCAAAATGGCTGTAAACTAGTGTTATCATTTTGTTGCTATAAATTTGATAAATTTCATTAAAATCGTACAAAAATTGTTCGATCTTTTTATAAATTTTATAAATATTAACCAGATTTTATGTCCTCATAACTTTATGTTAAGTTTACAACCAACTGTAATCTGATAACTAATTGAAAAAGTAGTTTGTAATTATAACAAAATCCTGTTAATAATTCAACCATAATTCTTGTAATTTTCAAAAAGAACCCTATTTTTACAAACCTTTTTGTACACCCAGTAACAAAAGTATTTGTTGTAAATTGGGAACTTAAATGAAAAGAATGTTGCTTTATTAATCAATTTCATAAACAAAAAAAATAACACATATTGAGGGAAACGTTTTGATTGAATGCCTGAAATCACTTGTACTTTTTTAACGAAATAATTCGTTAAACTTTAACAAAATAATCTGTAACCTTTGAAGTTTGCTTACAAAACTTCATATTACCTTTACAAAACTTTCGGTAAAATATTTTCCTTTGTTAAAATATTTACAAATATTTTCTACAAAATTTTACAAAAAACAATGTAATTTTTTCATATGTTTTAGAAAGACGATTTACCACAAATTTTAACAAAATTGAAGTTTTCGACAATGATACAATAATTAATAGAACAATAGTGTTAAATATTACGAATTTTAACTTAAGTCCACAAAATGACAAAGTTAAAGTAAAATTTAACAAAACGTTTTGCTTAAATTGCTCTACGAACGAAATCTGCCTGAAAAAAGAAGAATTCTTGAAGCCAAAATGTTACCAAATTTTAAACAAAAGAGATCCGACTGGCTGTGGAGGACATTGCAAAATTAACACGCAGTTCTGCCAACTTTTGGACGCAAAATATGGCGTTTTTCAATGTTCCAATATGAAAAATACGTTGAAGTGTCCGAAAAATAATTTCAACTGCGGAAATAGATGTATTGGTATTGACAAAAAGTGTGATGGTATTGTTCACTGCTCGAATAGGTCGGATGAACAAAATTGTGGTAAAATACAGGGTGTTTTTATTCCAATGTGATCCTAATTATATTTTTTAGATTGTGATTTATCAAAAAATTTCCAGTGTGGTTTTAACACGTCGTGCGTAAGCAACGCAAAAAAATGTGATGGAAGAATTGATTGCTGGGATAAAACAGACGAAATAGATTGTAAAAAAAGTAGGTAAGAAGAAAAATTTTTGTTGTTGTTTCATATTTTGATTATTTTTTTAGATTGTTTGAAAACACAATTTTTATGCTCCAATGGTGAATGTATCTCAAGTGATAATTTTTGTGACGGTGTTACACACTGTAGCGATGATTCAGATGAACCCAAAGGCTGTTTAATATAGAAAAATACTGGGAGATGCTTGAGCACAATTCCGCGCGCCCACGCATTAGGTTCCGGTACCGATATTTTTTTTCCTTAAAAAAACTCCATTTAATATAATTGTTTCTTTATTGTCAAATTAACTTAAGAAGGTTCAGGCAGAACATTGCTTGGACAAGGGTAAGGGTAAAAAATCGTTTTATCTCGGACAAAAACTTAGTTCTTAGAAATATAGAGGGCGATAAAGTTAACAAAAATTAGTTTTATATATTTTAAACCTCTAAAATTTATTTAAACTAAAAATGCTAAGTAAAAAAGTTGTAGATTTGAAAAATATCTATAATCTATTATGGTCAACCATGAAATAAAATGCTAAAATGTATAAAAAGTGTTGAAAGTGATTACTATTTCTGAGGTATTCAGTGGATTGAAATGATTGAATTATTGAAAAAATACATATCATGTGGAATGAGAAAACCGCCCTAAATATAAATCGAAGTTTGTATCTTAAAAATTAAGCTCATCATGCACTACTACAACTTCGATCTCAGTATCTGTAGGCCTTAAAAAAACAGATTATAGGTACAGTTCATTTTTTTTATCTGGACTCGTGTTTTTTTGTTAGATTGGTGGCTTATGCCAGTTTGACTTAGTATTTTTAGTATTTAAAAATGGTACTTCTGCTAAAGAATTTAATTAAATACTTTGACACTGTCAAATTGACAAGAATATTTATTATAGATAATTTACTTGTCAATTATAAATAAAAAGATAATTATGCCAATAATAATAGCAACGAATTCGAATGTAAAAGCCCTTTTGAGGGCAAAACTTCATTTGGATGAAATTATGCCAAATGCCACAAAGGAAGAAAAACTACATCGCCTTATGGACATTTTTGGAGTAAAAAAGTAACGAATTTGGTTTTATAAATATTACATCACACATTATTTTCACATTATTCACCATTGGACAACATTTACGTTCACAAAAAAATTTAATTTCTTTTATATAAATTCTTTTCAAAGCGAAGATTATTATCCGCTAGGAATACTTTGTCTTCTGGGCCGTAAAGCAACCTATATTTAACTACTTTTTTATATAATTTTACTCATCCAAGCACCACCAAAGCCAAATTGATTGCATTTTTAACTACGAATTTTGACAACTCAACTTGACAACCGTTCAATGTAACCTACAATAATTTAAACATAACCACAATTACATTTATAACTAGCTTAGTTTGTCTTAGTCAATGCGACCAACTTGACAACTGTATTTACCAACCAAAACCCTAAACATGCAACGTTGCTGCAGTCCAGATAAAAAAAAATGAACTTTATATTGCTATATAGCTATAGCTAATTGTAGTGATTGGCTATTTGCTACCGCTGTCCAACTCTTTCACAATAAATCGCTTTTTCTTGCTAAACAGCTTTCAGCCGTTATTCTCATTCCACATCCCATATAAATATTAAAAAGTTTAAACGCCGTGCTTGTTAAGCCATAAACTACACGCAGAAAAAATGTCAATGTATAGAAATCGACTTTTTTAGGGAAAATATAAACGTTGAAAGATAATCACCCAATTTATTTTATAAAACAACAGTTTTTTAAATTACTACGTTGCCATGTCGTGCAAAAACCTATATCCACTGATATGCTAAATCAATTGATATAAATAAATCATCGTTTCTGCATACGGCCCCAAGTCACTATATTTTTTATAGCTAACATAGTATATTTTGTACATTGTACATTAATAGTTAAATAAAGATTATTTCTTATAACTAAAGGTTTTTTATTATAACCAATATTATTTAGTGCTTTATACCACAAAAAAATACATTGGCACCGGTGAAAAAAAAATACCATAAAAGTTATTTTTCGAACGTTTTTTCATTATTAAGAAAATTATTTAGTATTTTCTCGAAAAACCCTCAAACACGTGAACTGAGATATAAGTTGAAGTATTTTTATCCAAAATTTCATAAAGAATAATAAAGGCGTTTTAGAGATAGATTTTTTTTACAGTGGTTCCAAAAGTTATGGCCAACACTGTACATATATGGTCTTGTTTACAAGATTTTGGCCTAAAAACGTATATACACGTATATATATAATTACAGTAGCTAGATTTCCGAAAAAACATTAAAAATTGATTTTTCACCACTTTACATAATTTTTAATAAATAATTTGTTTTTTATGTTCTATTTTAAACTATAAAATTTTAAATAGACAAATGTCTTAACTTTAATTTAAAAAAAATATATATATTAAAAAATCTCTATTAGTTAAATTTACAGCCATTTAAACATGAATGATGTTAAAGAAAAATTGGCAATTTTGCTTAATTGTAAACTTGGTTCACTTCAATGTTCTAAAATTTTTAAAATTAAATTAAATTAATTAAATTTTATAAATAAAACTTAAATAAATTAAGCTTTTCTTAATTGTAATAATCAAACTGTTCAAATAGAAATAATACAGTAACAAAGAAAAAGTGTCTAAAGTTGAGGGTATTTTAATAAAAAACAGTCATATTTTTATATAAAAATTAAAATATAATTTATTTAAAATCAACAATTATTTAAATCGACACACATCTCGGATAAAAACTCTAGCAAAAGAGTAAATTGGCTAACACACCCTCCAGAATCCCTATGACAAAACACGAATGTTTTAATGAAAGTCGTCAAATTTTTTAAAGTACCCTGAAACACAGAAAATCACCTTCAATAAATGATTTTTCATGTACTGATAAAAATAATTTAGATTTTTACAAGATAATTTACACATTTGCATTAACACGAGTAAAATTAACATATTTAAATTTGTGAGACGAAATGCGCTTTAAAAATACCCCACCTATATACAGTGTGTTCAGAAAATGGCGGCCCCGCTAGTAATTTTTTGTTATTTCTTGGTTTAGAAGAAAAAAGTATTCTTTAAAAAAACTTATGCTTGCCCTGAAACCATAACTTCTAATACTAAATTTACGATTGTTATACAGGGTATATCAAAAATAAAAATAAACTACATACCTGGTCCCACTCATTCCTAAAAATCGCCGTAACTTGGGCTTCGAAAGTATCGGATTCCATCAACTTTTCTTTCATTAAAAACGCCAAAAATCTCGCCAAGGTATCCCAAGAATTTACCTTATTTTGGGATTGCGCTAAAAGCATGATATTTCTGGGTGAAATCATGTTTTTAAATAAATTGTCAGGATTTGCGTGGTATGTTTTCCATATTAAAGCAAAATTCGTCATTATAGTTCTATTCGTCATTAGTTTTGTATGATGCGTAACTAAAAACCAACAAAAATAACTATTACCTAAGTAAAACCTTAGACCAAACAGTGTGGAGAGATTATAAAATAATGGGTGGTAACTTACTTAAAAGTAGAGATATGTCCACTAAAATCGTACAAATATACGATTTTATACATTCGTTTACGTCCCCTCTTTCCGTTAATGTTTTCAGTGATTCTTTTAAGAAATTTAAGGTAAATTCTTCATCAATTGTGACTGTTCCTTCTATTATGCTGGTGGCCAATATCTTAAAATAAAAAAACATTTTTTTTTACTTTTATGACCTTTTTTTAAATTTACGTCATTTATATTGATTATTTATATGATTTATATGATTGTAAACAGCTACTAAAGAAATATATAAAAAAACAAAATACTTGAAAATTAACGAATTACATGTACTTGAAACACTAAAAATATTACATAAGCTGAACAAGGTAGAAATTATAGACAACGGCATAAACCTAACAAAACAGGAAGAAATACACAATTACAAAACTAGAAATAGGGAAAAAATAAGAATACACAGAGCTAGAGATGCGACTTGAAAAAGAACGGTCCGTTTTTTTGTTTTTTTTTTCAGTTTTTTTCATTGTTTTTTTCAAATGGCTTTTTTCATATTTTACTTTTTTTTTCAAGATTAGTCCCATTTGCCTAATTTTTTATGTTTCTAGTCCAGTTCATGGACTAAAATTAGCCACTAAATGACATTTAGTAAATGTCTCGCGTTATGCATGCGCCACCACCACCGAATTGACCAATAAGGGCCGCGCTTGTTTTGATTTGGTCCTAAAAAAGTTACTACCTAAAATATTTTTGATTCAGCGCTTGATTTTTCAAAAAGCTACCAAAAGCACTTTTTTCAAGATTTTTCAAATTCATGGACATTTTTTTTTCAAAAAAACAATATTGTTATATTGCTATTTAGCAAATTCTGGTAGAACATTTATTCATTGGTGGTTAAGTCAGAACCTTTTTATTACGGTATTCGTTAGGATTGAGCGTTGCATGTTTTTCATCTAAAAATCTCAAAACTGGAAACTTCAACCTTCAAATTGCTTTTTTTACGGCTCCAATTCAACCATTTTTAACGAAGATGCGAAAAATCGCAAAAAAAATTGGAATTTTTTTTATCCTTTAATTTTTTCTATTAGTGTGTTTTACATTGCTATTGGTTTCTTATGTGGAAACTACCAAATAATAAGAAATCACATTTTTTAGTCTCAGTGAAAATTTTCAATAATGAAAAATTTAATATATTCACTTTATTATTAATATACATTTTACTCCTGAAAAATTACTCCATTTTTTAAGATTGATGATATTTATTGACAGAATATGCTTTATTGTAGCGGATTTGAAAAAAAAACAAAAAAAATCGTGTATTTTCTAGGTTTTCTTTCATGTTTTTTTTCACATCTGAAAAAAAAACGGTTTTTTACATCTCTACACAGAGCACAAACAAGAACTAGTCAAAAACAGCTGATGCATGAGGGAATAAGGAAATATATCGAATTACCAACAAAAATAAAGGAACATCAAACCAAAGATTTAAATAAAGTGATCAAAGAATTTATAATTAATTTAAGAGACTGAAATATTAAATTATATTTTATTCGTAAAAAGACTGTAAATATAAATAGGCACAGTATATATATTATTTATCTATAGTGGCCCATTAGGGCACATTATGTATTTTTCTAAATAAAAAAAAATTAATTCCAGTAATTTTCAAAAAGGACCTTAATTTTGATAAGAAATGTTGCTTTATTAATCAATTTCCTAACCAAAAAAATTACCTCATACGATTTAGTTTTTAAAAAATGAAAACATTTGATGAAATTATAATAATTAATTTTATCGCCGATATAAAATAAAATTTGAAAAAAAGCAAGGAAAAACTGAAACAAATACTTGTAAATAAATATACCATGTAAAATTTATTCTTACCGTCATTTTCTCCAAAATCTGTGCGGAACTGAAAGTCAAATCGTCGTGATTCCGATTATTTCCGCCAGGAGGCAGCAAAAACACGGGCTTATCTTTGGCACTCTTTTGGCAACAAGTCTCGGAAAAAGTTTTCTGCAACTCCCCGTCAAAATCTTTGCCGAAAATCGCCGACGTCACGTGGACGTTCACCCAATGAGAAACTCTCTCGAGACAAGTTCTCGTCGCTATGGCGATGCACGTATCGCGGGTTGCCAGCAGAGTGTCCAAGGCCAGCAGATTTTCGACCGATTTGGGTATTTTTTGCTTTATCGCGTCGGTTACTTCGCCGAGGCAAAGCTGCTTCAGATTCTCGAGGTTTTTTTGCAGCAGTTTGTTGGTTTCTTGTTTTAGGACGTTCTGAAATGAAGTTTTGATAAATTTGGACTTCGATTAAAGCGATTTACCTTTTGAATGTTTGTTTCTTCTTCACTCAACGTTTCAGTCTTATTTTTCCACTCTTCGGTGATTTTTCGTAAGTCTTTCAAGGCGTTTTTCTTGAAATTGGGCACAATAGTGTTACATATATGCTTAACACAGGTACTAGCCACTCTTTCGCTTACAAATTCCACCGTTTTTCTTGTGGACATCGGTTGTCCATTGAAAAATGCCTCCTCAAGTTGGTACTAAAAAAATGTCAAATATACTACTGAGGTAGAATCGGCTGATTTTATTTTTTTTGTTTTCAGCAAAATTAAAATAGGAAAAGCAAGAGTATACGACAAAATTAACTCTGAAATGATTAAATACAGTGTGACCCATTTATTTGCGACTTTTTTTTGTAATTCTTGATAAACTTTTTTTGGAGCAAAAAACACCATATTTTTAAAAGATACATGGCCTAATATGTAAGTTTTTGAGAGTAAATTTTTAAGAATACATGTTGGCGATTTAAAAAAATCTATGCACGGCACTGGATTTAACACCAAAACGACCCTACTAAATTTTATTAAATAATTTTAAGTGGGAACGATTTTGTAACCAAATTAAAAATGAACAATAATAACTATTTACAAAAATGTATTCTGTCAAGTTATCCATGAAAAAAATATTGAAATATATATTCTTATATTTTTAGAATTATACATGTGAAAGAAGTTATTTTTTTTTAAATATGTTTATATAAGATGTTGGATTTATTATGTATATTTAATGTAATTTTTCTGTGTGCTATATTTTTGTGACACATTAATATTTAACTTAACATTTTTTATACAATTAAAAAGTAAAATGGCGTGCCATAATTAATTTGATGTGTACGCGTAATTTTAATTTTTATTTTGTTTTTAAAATTATGACTATATAATAAAAATATTAAAATTAATTTTTCTTGCTACCCGGCAGAAAATACGTTGTTTCGTCCCCGATTCCACGGCAGAAAGTTTACGTTTTATGCATTGGTCAAGCTATACGTATTTTCGGCCGAGGTAGTAAGAAAAGTTTCATTTCCTCCCGCTACCATGACAACGCTACAGTTTGATTGATTTTGAATGTAAACGTCAGAATTAAATTAAACGTCAGATTTTAATTTTGACACAAGTTTTTTTATACACATTTAATTTTTTCCCGTATTTTCTGCCGGGTAGCAAGAAAAATAGTACACACTACACGGGCAGAAAGTGTGAGAGCCCTGAACTGCGCGCCATGATGCCCTCGGCTTCGCCTCGGGCAGGAATCTCACACTTTCTGCCCTTGTAGTGTAATATACTATTATGTGTACAAATAAAATTATATAATTAATTTTATGTCTACACATAAAATTAATTTGGCGCTGCGAAAGTGCGGCTGAAAGTGACAACTGCAGTAGTTCAAATAGTAGGGATGTTTAATTTATCTACGTCATATAATTATATTACAAAACTAGAACCTTATAGTTTTCTGTAATTATTTAGATAGAAGAACAAAACCCGAATCTCTTCGCATATTAGCGTCAAAGTTGACGTAGATAAATAACGCATAAATACCTACTATACATTTGAACTACTGCAGTTGCCACTTAAATTAATTACATAATTTTATGTGTACAGATAAATTAATTCTATAATTTTTATTATGTAAAGTCATAATTTTAATTGTAACATAAAATAAAATAGTTTAAAAATTTTGTTTAAAAAAAAAAAATTGTCAAAGAATGTTTTTACTCTCACCAAAATTCCAATATAAATTTTAAAGTAAAAAAATAAAGAACCTCATACGAAATAAAAATGAACCAAATTTAAATGAGGCAAATATTAATTCAACTAACAAAATAATATGTAAAATGTTTAAAAATATTCATTGGGTAAAATATTTAAATTTTACAAAAAAAATGCGTATCAAATTAAATTGTATCATAAAAAATAATTATTATTATAATAATAATTTGCTATTTTTCCTATCTGTTTCCATTAAATTTGATTTAAATTTATGCTTGACATAATTTTATTTAATTATTATTATGTCAGACATAAGTATAGGTAATTATAAAAAATTATATATTCTATAATTTTATCTGGACTGCGGCAACGTTGAAAATTTAAAAAACTAAACTAGTCCTAAATGTAATTATAATGTAATTGTGGTTATGTTTAAAATTATTGTAGGTTACATTGAACGGTTGTCAAGTTGAGTTGTCAAAATTCGTAGTTAAAAATGCAATTAATTTGGCTTTAGTGGTGTGTAGATGAGTAAAATAATATAAAAAAGCAGTTAAATATAGGTGACTACGGCCCAGGAGAGACAAAGTATTCCTGGCGGATAATAATCTTCGCTTTCAAAAGAAATTAAAATTGTATGTGAACACACAAAGTAAATTATCAATAATAAATATTACTGTCAATTTGACAGTGTCAGAGTATTTAATTAAGGTCTTCAGCAGAAGTACCATTTTTTAAATACTAAAAATACTAAATCAATCTGGCATAAGCTACCAACTTAATAAAAAACACGAGTCCAAATTAAAAAAAATTGAACTTTACTTCAATTTTTTTTACATTTAAAACATTTAGTTTTGACAAATAAAAAACGCAATAGAAACTTAAACCAAAAATAAGCAAAAAATATTCCAGAACAAATATGAAAGTGTATTGAAATAAATGGTGGATTTGGAATTCTCTATTTTTGTTTCATTGCTGCTTTAAGTTTTTATTGCGTTTTTTATTTGTTAAAACTAAGCATTAGAATATGTATACCATGTTACTATTAGTTTAAATTTATTTTAATGTTTTTTTCATGGATAACTTGACAGAATAAATTTGTGTAAATAGTAATTATTGTGCATTTTTAATTTAGCTACAAAATGGTTTCTACTTAAAAAATTTAATAAAACTTAGTTAAAGGTCGTTTTGAGGGATGGTAAACCACCGAAAAAATTTAAAAATAGGTCTTACCTCTAATTTCTTTTTTGCGATGTCGTTCGAAGATTTGACAGCTGTCACTGGAGTTATATGCTTGACGGTTACGTGACTTTGGGTCGTATTATTGGTCAGCAGTTTTTTCAATTCGCTCAAATACGGACAACAAATGTACAATATATTTTGATCGACAATGTCTAGAGAATCCAAGGGTGACTTTTTACTTTTGTTTTCCGTTTTTTGTGGATTTTCCTTCGTGCCGTCTATGTGGTTGAAAAAATCAGTGTCGGGGAAACTTGGCAGCTCGAATAACCATCCCAGCGATATTTTTATTAGAGATGTGTTAAAGGCGGTTCCATTATAATTTTTGTACAAGTTGAATAAAACCGCGAATAAATCTCTAAAATATGGCAACCTCAGTGTTACATAGTCCAACATGGCCAAATATTTAACAATCCAAGGTACACTTAGTACGACTTTTCGTTCGATAATTGAGTTTTTTAAAATGCGGTTTACGTCAAAGTTCGGGTAAACATCGCTCCTAACTTTTATTTGCAGATTTAATATGTTTTCCGGGAAATGTTGGACTTCTGCGTTGTATGGTAGGGATTCTAAAAACCCCAGGAATTTTGCCAATGTTCTTAAAGATTTTAAACAAGCTAAATAGGATTTTTTGGTTGTGCAATCTATGTCTTGATCTAAAATTAAGAAAAAAAAATATATTTTATAAAGTTAATTTTTTGGTAAATACGGAATCAAAATTGGTTGCATTGATTAAAACAAACTAAAACTAGTAAGCGTAATTTAAAAAAAAGTAGTTAAATATAGTTGACTACGGCCCAGGAGATACAAAGTATTCCTAGCATATAATAGTCTTCGTTAAAAAAAAAATATATAAAAGAAATTGCTTTTTTTTCAAACCAAATTGATGCTATTTTAAAGAAAGAAAAAAATAACTAGGGTAAAGTAGACAGTTATTGCCAATAACTTATTGGACAATTAACATTAAGGTATCTATAAATAAAGTCAAATCACTAGATGACGCTGTATACAATTATAACTATCTCAGTCGGTAATAATATAGAACTACTTTATTTTGGGTCCAATATAGGACAAAAAAGTTCGCACGTTACTTTGGTGGTAAGATTTTTGTTTTTTGTTAAGAGCAGGGCTGTGTTTAAATTACAATAAAAAATATTTCTAAAAAGTGTACAGATCAGTGTGTGGTATCAATGTGTTCCTCACGGTTTAAACATTGTCACTTTAATGCGTTTTAATTTTAATTCCAAAAACAAACAGTAAATTGGCAGTGTCCAATTACTGGTTGGTAAACAATGTAAATTTCTATTATTGGACATATGTCCAATGTCATACTCTATTTGTATCCCGGACATTTACCAGCCAATTCTTATGTAAAATTGTCCCCTAAATCCGAAAAGACCGTCAAAAACTATAAAAGTTAAGCAGTTTTTGAGATATAGTCAATTCCACATTATATGTAAAATTGATTATATTTCAAAAACTGTTTTACTTTTATAACTTTTGACGACATTTTCGGATTCAGTGAATAATATTTCATAGGAATTGACTGCTAAATGTCCAAGATACAAATTGGTGTTGACGAGAATTATTAGTGGCTGCTTTTTCGCTATGACTTTTTTAACTAATTCATTTTTAGAGAGTAAGTAATATAGTGATTTCTTCGTCACAGGACATCTTGCAGAATAACAGTGATTTAAATACAGTGCATGATAGAGAACATAAAAAACTAACGGCAACAAAATTAATAAATTCGGAAAATACTTTTAACATACCACCCGAAAAAATATTAGATTATATAAATCATTCTGTTTCGGCCTAAACATTATAAATGCTTTACAAACTAGAGATATTTGCAACAAACTATTTCAGAAGTCAGTCCAAGGAATTAGTAGTTACCTTCAGAATCCAGAAAAGGGACGAGGAATCCGAGAAAGAAATATATGAATTATGATATTTACAAAAACGAAAAAAAAAAAATTACCTAAAACAGCAATTTATCTTTAAAGAATATTTAACACTTTATGTTATTTGATGTAAAGTTAAGGTCCATGTGTCCAATTACTATACTTTTTTTTGCATGTTTTTATAAAACTATTATTAACAATTCTAATATTCTTATTTTTAAGTAAACGTAAATAAAGTTTAAACAAACTATCCTTTTTATATATTTATAAGAAAAAAACTAAAAGCCTTTTTGACAGGTTAGTAAACACAGTTGGGCAAAAGATTTTTAAAAGTTTCAAGACAACAATATTCTATAGTCTTCTAGCAATTTTTAAAGCTCCTACGTTTAACTTAGGCGAGACCTCTCGGTATTGGCTGATTTGACATCGTAAAAATCAAACTACTTACCAGGGTCAATCCCATCGAATTTACTACTATTCAACTCCAAAATCTCCGTAATCAGACTGTCACCCAAATGTTTGTTAAAGGTGTGGTGACCGCCTGTTACAATAAACTCCTTATAAAACTCTTGGTGTCCAGAAAAAAACGGCAGGGAATTTAGACCGTTCGAATTTTGTTTTGTGACCAGTCGACTTTTGAGCCTGCTAAATTTTTCGGCGTCCAAATTTGGCAACGATGGCAAAAATGGTACTTCGCTGGCATCGTCCTAAAAAGTGTTAAATGTTACAAAATATCCCTGCAAATAGTCGGCAAAACACGTTTAAAAAAAATAAATAGTCAGTCAAACAATGATATACTTTTGATTTTAAATAACTACTTAAGAGTATTAAATCTAATTAATTACGTGTTGTTTGTGCTATACCTGTAGGTTAAACCAGTATATTTTCGCCGCTACTGATTCAATTAAATTAAAATTTGTACAGAATCAACATTATTAATATTTAAAACTAACTGTTAAAATGTAATAAAGATACTTTAAAAATAAAATTATTTTTTTTTAACTACTTTATCGACCAGACAAAAAGGAGTAGACCGTTATTTTTCAACGAATTTTGTAAAATGGAGATTTTTTTTTTAATTGTAGGTAAATGTACATGCAAAAAATATAAAAAAATAAGTGAATTCACTTAATTTTTTTGCCACATTTTTTTATGGCTAAATTCGTAATTTCGAAATTATTATTTTTTTAATGAAAATGCCATTTTTTTGTAAACTGGGGTGACATTAGACTGTGTCAAAATAACTTTTTTTTTTCGTTTAAATACCTACATATCTAAGAAGTTTTTTCAATATGAAAAAAAAATCTCTGTAAGTTTGAGGGTCCCCTTTCCCATTTAAAATACATGGGATTTTTTTTTAGTTTTAGAATAACTCATGGATATTTTTTTTTAATTTTGTTTCTCACTACCTTATAGGAAATTTAGTTTTCTACAAAATTGCCCCTATGCATTTTTTCTCTAAACTCATCAGAAACAAAGTTATATAGCGCTGAATAGGAGGAAAAAAATAAAAATATTAGTCGATATATTAAAAAAAATAGTTATTTATGTCATTAGGTTAAGAAGTAAGGCTTTTTGTGCTAAGCCGACGCGTAGCGGAGACCTACAATTGAGCGAAGCACTTCTTGGCCGAATGGCATACAACATTTTTTCTTCAAAGCACTTTATATAGGTCAATTTAATTCAACATCAAAGCGGCCTAACCTCACTTTTTTAGAATCTCATTTATTTATTAGCTAAAGATTACATTAAATGTACAATAATTATTTGATTATTGATTTAAGTAGAAATGGATTTTTTCTATTACATTGAATTCAATTAATTGTTTAATAAATAGGTAGGTATCTAATTTCAATTTGTTTGGATTTTTATTTAAAAAATAGGTAGTTTGGAATGTTTAAGCTGTGTTAAACATTTAATTTCACTGAAAACTTAAAGCAAATTAAAACTTAAAGATAATTTAAATCGTAGAAAGAGAATCGTGCGTTTTCTTGGTTGCCTAACCTCACTTTTTGTTTTATTATTCATATATAATTTTACAATAATTTAATTAAAAATATTAAACATTAACAGTAAAACAAACAAATTAATGCTTATTATAAATAAATTAAACCAGTTTAGTACGTTTATTTCTTGGAAAAGGATTAATTTGTCAAAACAATACCCCTAGCGAGAAAAAATCGAACTAATTACTTGCCTCTTAAAAATTTTTATCGGCCTAGGCCATAACAAGGTATTTCTTTATCGAATGAAAACAATAAAGTTTAAATTATAGACCGCGTGAAGATAAAAATATTTATGAAGTTATTCTAAAAAAAAAATTCCCATGTATATGGCATGGCATTTTCATTAAAAAAAAATAATTCCGAAACGACGAATTTAGCGAACTTGGGACTTTTGGTGAAAGTTGTTCATATTATCAACTTAAACGAAAAAAATATGAAGTAAAAAAAATGTGGCAATGTCAATTTTTTGTTGACTTTTTAAAAAACAATTTAAAAAAATTGAGTATATTAACTAAATTTTTTATATTTTTTTGTATGTAGTAAACAAATTTAGTCAAAAAAAAATACGGGTCTCATCGATTTAAGTAGAAAAGCTGTAAAAAAAAAATCGTTAAAAAATAACGACCTACCCCTTTTTGCCTAATCGATTTCAGGCACTTTAACAAGATTTTAATTATTTAAACCCTTATAAAATCGCGGCCACTGAGGCAATTGAATTAAAATTTTTACAGGATCAAGATTAAGATACCACAATAATATGATGTTAAAATTTTAAAACGATATATTTAGTGGTTATTTTAAATGAATTTTGACCACTTTTTGGCCACAGCTAGTTCTACTGTAAGAAAAAACAGTATTATAGTAATAAATTTGGCATTGGTAATATACTGTTATTTTTGGGTCAAATAATTCAAAAATGAAATCAAAATGCTTACGCTATGCGACGTTCCGCAAGTAGTCAGCAATTGTTGCTTGAAAAGCCTTGAAAAATGCACAAAATTCACGGGGTCTGAGCCTAGGGATAAAAGGCTTTTTATTTTTCCGGAAAGTGAAACTTGGAAATTCCATCCTTGCAACATGTGGTTGTTTTCCCAGATTCTAAGTATCTCGTAGAAAAGATCGCGTTGTTTGCGAAAAGACTGAAAACTGTTGGTACTGGGAAAGTTCTCTTTATTATCCGTGTCCAAATTGAAGCAAATGTTTGTTTGCGTGTTGTTTGGCGATATTTCCACCATTCTGTCATTTTTTGTTTCATAGATTTTTAGTATTTTCTCTTTCAAGTCCGGGGAAAATTTGTTTAATCTTTTATTGTCACTTAATAATTTAAGCGTCGATTTATCGTAAAATTCCAGTAACTCTGTAACATTCTCCAAGCATTTAACAGCAAAATAAATAATATTATTAACATTCTCAAAAATTTCAGAGTTGTAAAATTGTTTTTTCTTTGATCCTAGATCCAAATTAAATTTTTTTGCGTTTTCATCTTTTAAAAACTCCACACCAACATTTTCACAACTCATGTTACCACTATCACATTTATTTTCCTTCACAAAACAATTTTTACTTAACAATAACGATACAATAAAATATACTTCACTTGTAATGTTTAAAACCCAGTTTTTCTTTAAAAATAATACATAAATATCAACAAAGATCACCAATTTATCAGCATTAGTCACCAAGTTCAGGGAAATTTCACCTTCAATATTTAAATTCAGCAAATTACTGGTGATTTTTTTTATCGGAAATTCCACACTATTTTTACGTGTTAATATCTTTTTACGCTCTTCAGCTATAAAACTACGGTTAATCTCACTCTCCTCGCTGATATTTTGAAAGTTGAAACTATTTTCAGTTTCTCTCACCCGATTGTTAACCTTTTTTTGGCATAATGTTGTAGGCGTTATTCGTTTAGTCCTACTTTCACTACTATCATCCAAATTTAACGATTTCGGGGTTTTCTTCTTACCAATTCTTTTGGTAACGATAAAATCACCCAGGCATAGCGGCGATTTTCCTGGCAATTCACTTTTCTTGTGCTTCGGAGTGCTGAAATTGTCTTTTTTGTATAATGGAGATATAGGACTTAAATATGATGCTTCAAGGGAGTTATTTATTAACTTTGTCACTTTAGGAGTGCTTGTTGTTGAAACATCCAAGTTATTTTTACATTCAATGGACTTATTCAAATTTAAAGGCAAGCTCGACGATTTATTCAAATCATAACTTTTATCATTATTTTCAACACAAAATAGACTTTGCCGCCTTCCGAATGAATTTTCTTGAGTAATTTTAGTGTCTATTCTTTTCGGCGTATTCAATTTTTGCGGTGTTTTACCGAAAAAATCATTACTAAAAAATTAGGTTACGTTTTATTTTATGCTACGCGAATTGATATATTAACATACCAGGGTAAATCCTCGTGTAAAAAATTCAAAAAATACGTAACAAAACTGCATTTCTCGGCACAATACCCATTAATTTCACTGTATTTATCATCCTAAAACAATATTTGAGGTTATGTTCTTATAATTCCATATTTCTGACTTAAATCAAGCAGCTTACGTCTGTCTCTTCGTTTGAGAGCCAAGATAAAAACAAGCGAATATCGATTTCTTCATTTATTAACTTGTTAAGTAAAATATCGGCCATTATTTCATGTAAAATACGTAAATAAACAGGGAAATTTAAACTGTCAACATTTTGCCATTGGCGCATGCGCTGTGGTGAGTTTTGCTAAAAAAGCGCGTTTATTTGAACAAATGTGTTTTGTGGATAAATATTTGCTTTTTGATGTTTCCAGTGCATTGTATTGTTTGTTTTGCAAACTTTTACAGACAAATGTCTGGTATTTAGTATTTTTTACATTACCACTTGACTCGCATCAGTAGAATGTATTCAATAGATGCGGCAAATTTAAATAGGTATGCAGAATTTTAAAAGCGTAGGAAAGCAGAAATATGATGTTGATTTTAAAATAAAGGAACACGTATTAATAATTCGGAATGGTTTTTGGTCATATATGAATTAAAGGTCAATTTAATAATAAATATTACTTTACAATTTAAATTTAATAAAAATTAATTAATTGTATAGAAAAAAATTGGCACCAGAAACCCACATGGGTACGTAAATGTTAAAGATTTTTTTGGAGAGTGGGAGGAAAAGAATGTTAAGACAAAAACAAACATAAAATAATAAAATAGTGGATGTTACAAAACATTTTAATATAATACTTAGTCTGTATTTTTTTTTAGTTAATTTAGTTTTTAAAATTGTATTTATTCTTTTTTTTGCAGATTCGAATAGATTTTGAAATTCTGAATTCAGCAACAATATGAAGGAACGAAATGATTGCAATTTTCTCACTTTTGCTAAATAGTTATCGCAAAATTATAGATGTAATACTAGATCTAGTAGATCTGATCTGATCTACACTACATCTTGCGAAAATTGTTGATTTTACTTCATATTATAAATAAAATTTTCAAAAAATTGGCTTACACCATAGGGTTAATTTGTGAAAAGACTGGATTTTTAAAGACTAAATTTGTAGACTACATTTGTATAAAAAAATAAACATAATTTTATTTGGAATTCCAACGAGTTAACACGTTGATCTTAAGATCACGTTTATAAATTAATGTATCATTAATTTATTTATGAATTTGTAAAAAGATACCTAATTTTAATTAAAATAAGATATCTTTCTATAAAGGTAAACAATTGTCACAATAACTAAAATAAATAACTTAAAGAAAAAGTTCTTTTGGATTATTACCTACTTATTGACTAAAATTTCGCAATAAATCAATTTTATGAATGATTAACAGCTAAGTTTTGAACTTGCCTTGTCTTAATTTGCTTGTTTTTCTTACAACGTTTCGATTAGTAATTATCTCTTATAGTCAAGGTAATAACTGAAGACAATTAAATTAAGGGAATCATGCCCAGAAAAATTTCTTCAACCATCACATGTGCTGGCTATATGAACCATATATGCGTGCATACGTGCGGATTACAATCATCAGTTGTGACTGCAATATGCGTCAATTATGAACCTCATAATGTTATCTGGGTAGATACTTTGCATTAAATAAATTGCAAACGTCTAGTCTTATTGCCACATCCTATGAGAAGTAAAACTTCAATTCTCTGTGTTTCCGTTAAATGGCCCATATTTAAAAACTTTGGAAGAAAAATTTGGAGAAAGCTTAGGAGACGGATACTTCACTGAACGCACAATACAACTAAAAGTTTTTACATCTAGTAGAGAATAATTGTTTTAAATTAAATGCTAACAAAGAAATATAAAATAAAAAACTTCCATATATCGACACTTGCTATTTACATATACAAAAAAAAAATAAACTGAAAAAGTTTGACCGTGAAATGATTTTTTTCCATACTTTTGCCGGTCACTTTATTATACAGTGTATACAGGTTTCTCAGATTTTAATCGGTAAAATTTAATAGACAATAGAACTTTAAAGCTTTATTTTTGAAATACAGGATGTTTAAGTTAATCAAAAAGTATGGAAACGCCACTGCTTTTTATGATTTTAATATGTTATTCGTTATAATAATTATGATTATTTAATTAAAAATACCACTTTTTTTGTCTGTCTTGCTTAATTGTCATGAAAAAATTAAATTTGTTTATCCGCTCGCAATTTTTCCAGGAAGAGCGAATAAACGATTTTTTTTAATATTACACAGTCAAAAATTTATATGTATATTTAACATATTTCTTGTGTCCCAGAAAGTCCACTAAAATTTTTGATTTTTATTACCACTTATGTTAATTTTTAACACAAAAGAATGTGTAAAAGAAAATTAATATGTATATGTTATATTTTTACATAACTGCAAAGTTAATTTAGCAAATCGTGTTGTGTCAATTTTATTTTTTTAAATGGTCATTTTAACCTTAACTAATAATTAATATGATTTAAATATGTTAAATATATTTATATTTTATTTATTTTACACAAAAAAGTGTTACCTACTTTAACATGTCTTCATTTAATTATTTTAATTTGTTTTTTTTACAATATTTTTTAATTATTTTTTACATTACTAATTGTTTATTTTTATCTATTTTAATAAAATATTTAAATTAATATAAGAACATTGGTTTTTGGTCAAAAAATAAAACATGTAAGTATGTAATAATAATGATTTATTATACTAAAACATAATTTAAAAAAAAAAGGCCAGCAATGAAGCATTGGAATTCACAGTCCAGTTCTTTTTTTATATTCCAAAATAAAATACATATCCATGCCATAGGGTAAACGGTCTTCAAACATTTCTGGGGATACAAACGTTATGTAAGTAAAAAAAACATTATCATAGCAAACTTACCTTTAAATTTTGTTAAACACACGCTATAAAAAAACCTCTAATCGACTAAACCCGGTTAGAAGACAAAGGGCCTTGCATGCAGGGTACCGATTTTAATCGAAAGAAGGCGAAAATTAGCGAATTAGAAGAATAACATTTATATTTAAGTTTAATTGAATAAAAAAAATACTCAATTGTTATAATTTGATTAAAAAAATTTTGTACTCAAATATTTAACAAATATTTTTTAGTTAGATTAACACTTGTTTAGTAGTTATTTAAACTAATGTATTATTATGAGGCGCCGTTTGTGTCAAAATTAAAAGTGCCAAATAAACTTATTTTGTTTTATAAATAATTAATTATATGCTTTATAAAATTATTATTACTTTTGATTCGCAAAAATTATTTTATAAAAAAATAATTTTATAAAAAAATTATTTTATAAAAAAATTATTTTGTAAAGAAATAATTTTATAAAAAAAAATTATTTTACAAAGAAATAATTTTATAAAAAAAAATTATTTTATAAAAAAATAATTTTATAAAAAAAAATATTTTATAAAAGACGACGGGCGAATTTATAAATTAATTTTTACTGCAGCCATCTCTATTTGTTTGTAGACACTCGAGTAAACCCGAGTGAACCCGAACGCCCCTCCCCAGATACAATTTTATGACGGACTGGGCTTTTGTTTGACGCAATTTGGGGAAACGATTGAAAATAATAATTTATTATTTTTATTAATTAATTAATTAATTTTTTTATCTACATTTATTTTGATTTTTAGTTTTTAACAAGAATTCTTTATGTTTAAACGTTTTTTATAAGAAAGCACTTTTAGTTAAATGCAAAACAAATAATGATTTATACCTTTAACTAATAATTAACTGTTAAAATCTATAAACAGCACTACGGTGTTCGTATTGTTCATCTGTTACGGGAGGAAGGGAGAAAGGAGGAAGGCAATCTTTAATTTAGGCTTTAGGCGCCAACAAAATTCGCATGCGAGTCCCGGGGACTCAGGTGTCGAATTAAAGGTTAAGTTAATTTACTTTTAAAAATTCAGATATTTAAAATGTAACGTAATCACTTTTAACAGTTAATTACACTGTGATACAAAATTAAGGTTTGCGAAAGGGAATGGAATAAAACCAAAATCAAATGAAAGTTAATACTTTCCACAAGAAAACCCTATCAGGGTTTTTTTATATCACGTCTCAGTTTTTTTTTGTACGCATTTAAAGATGGTAAATTTTTTGACATCCTATAGGAAAAACATAAGTAAAACTATGTTAATTATTCAAAATAATTTTGTCAATTTGATCGAGGAATCCATTTGTGATGTTAATTTTTACCAAAGACCCTCAGAAGAGGACGCTATCAAAAAATTGTTACTAATTTTTACTATTTTTAAAGGTAAGAAATCCATTTTTGTCATCCGTTTGTTGTAAAATATACCCTAGGTGATATTCGAAAGCAATATTTAATATTTTGGATTTATTAGTATAGAAAACTTGTTTTTTTTTAAGAAAAAATAGCATTTTTACTTCTTAACTAAACGATATTAAATTCGCTATTTTATTTTTATTTAAAAACTATCACTGCTGTAACCGGCAGTAACATGAGTTTAAGTACCAGAAGTTCCAGCTGTTCATTCAAAAATTGATAAAAATGCAAAATATAATTAATATAATCAAAAATCCCATGTTTTAGTATAAAAATAAAAAAAATACCTGAATTATACCACAACATTGGAACACCAAATTTCATTGACTTATTTTTCTTTTGTGATCATTTAATTAAATTGTTATTACAAGTTCTGCAAACTTTTCAACATATTCAATTATATGTATACCGTAATATTGTAGGTACAATTTTTTATATTTTGGAACTAAGTTTTGTTTTATATTATATTGTCCTTTAAATAAAAAAAATAATTTAATTAAATATATTTATTAAGAAAAACGTTTTATGTTGCTGTCACTGATTTACTATATAGTACATAATATTATGTGTTTTTAAGTAAACAAATCAATTTTACCTTTAAACAACCTCGTTTTTGCTACAAAAACTGCAATTTTTTGTGGTAATAATATTTTTTCAAAAGGGCGAATACGCCGAAATACTTTTTTTTTGTTTTTATCAAAACAGGAAAATGGCATATTCGCCCTTTTGCAAAAATACCATCGATATATTACAATATATATTACCACAAAAAAATGTAGTTTTTGTATACAAGTATTGGGTTTTGATTAAAGCATTAAAGAGAATATTTTTTTTTATAAAAATGCCCAATTTTCTAGTAAAAATGCTCTTTACTTGGAATGGATTCCTCGACTATATTGCCAGAATAATTTAAAAAAATTAAAATTGTTTTACTTATTTTTTTCCTATTATAGGGTGTCCAAAAATCTACCAACTTTAAATGCGTATAATAAAAAACTGAGACGTGATCTAAAAAAAACCTCATAGGGTTTTTTTGTAGAAGCTATTACCTTTTATTTGCTTTTGGTTTCATCCCATTCCCTTTTGCACTGTTGCACTGTGTTATTAGTTAAAGGTGTAAATCATTATTTGTTTTGCATTTAACTAAAAGTGCTTTCTTATAAAAAACGTTTAAACATAAAGAATTCTTGTTAAAAACTAAAAATCAAAATAAATTAATTAATTAATTAATAAATTATTATTTTCAATCGTTTCCCCAAATTGCATCAAATAAAAGCCCAGTCCGTCATAAAATTGTATCTGGGGAGGGGCGTTCGGGTTCACTCGGGTTTACTCGAGTGTCTACAAACAAAATTTGTATTTAACCCTTAGAGATGGCTGCAGTAAAAATTAATTTATAAATGCGCCCGCCGTCTTTTATAAAATAATTTTCTTTATAAAATAATTTTTTTTTATAAAGTTTATTTGTTTATTTAGCACTTTTAATTTTGACACAAACGGCGCCTCATATATTATATTGAAATTAAGGTAATTTTCTTGTAACATTAACAATAATATTATACTACAATGTACACAAAAATTATTAACACATTAATTTTTGTTAAATCTTTTGAAATTTTAAGATTTTAATTATTATAATTTTTGTATCAAGTAACATATATTATTAATTTTATGTTACCAGGAAGTTTATGTAAATTTTGGCATTTTTTATTTAACACGCATTATTTTTAACGCAAATTTTAAAAAGTTTTAACTGTGTAAGCAAGATTAAATTTATTCAGTTATGAAAAATTAATACTTGTTTAATAACTTTAATATCTAGAAAATGAAGCTTTAAAAAATACAAGTTCATATAAACTTTTCTACTTATTTGTGCGAGTTCCATAGACCACAAAATCGCCAAAATTGTCTCACGTAATTAATGAACGGCCCCTAACTTCGTTATCATAGGAGCTAGCTACAAAGATTAAATTAGCAAATTGGTGGTATTTTTCTGATTAAAATAGTGAAAACAGAAAAACAATTGAGCGTCAGGTTTTCAAAAAAAATATTCACAAAAATAACATTTTTTTAGATGGAACATCCTTTATAATTTTACATATTTTTTGTACTCCCACCTTTAAAACGCCCTTTATCGTACATGTTTCCATGACACTAAGTGATCTGTTAAATACACATTGACAAGTTGTGGCTTTATGGCGCTTTAGTCACGGGCTGAAGTTAGCATCAGGTTTTTAGTCACTGGCTGAAGTTAGTTTTAAGTTACTTGAGAGTTGTCAAATGTCATACAATCGTTAAAATAAAGTGCCTTTCTTGTAAAATAATACTAAATGTGAAAATTATTTTATTATCTCAATACAAAAATACAAAATTATAAAATAGTTTCTCAACGCCAGCATTTGAAAAGTTTATATGAACATTGTACTGACCTTTTAATTC